TCTTTCCCTCTAATTTTTCATCTTCCCTTAGGTTCCTTTTACTTTATTTCTGTGTATCTATGTACCATCCGAAGCAATGTTTCCTATATCTCTTTAAAATTATGTCTTTTTATTTGACAGCTTCTCATCAGGTTACCAAGTTCAGAGGCCCTATCCTTTTTATACTGTTTCCTAAGACTTTTTTTTTTTTTTAGAGGGATTTTCGCTATAGGGCACATGCGCTTACCAGACAGAGAGAGACAGAGAGACAGAAAGCGAGAAATCACCCCCCATGGGGGATGGTCACGCCGCAATCCCTTCTCCTCCATTCTCCTCTCGGGATCTTGGGCATGCACGCACACGCACCCGGCGTGAGTTTTAAGCCACCGTGTCCAGTGCGTGAACTGTGGTCAACTACGTGGGAGTCTAGCGACATAGCCATTACGCTAACTGCTGGTTCCCCTGTTACCTAAGACTTTGATACTCAAAGTAAGGTTCATAGACTAGCATCTACAGCATCTTCTCAGAACTAGCTAGAAATACAGGTCCATCCCAGACCTACTGACTCAGAACTTGCATTTTTCCCAAGATCCCAAGTAATTCACATGTAAATTAAAGCTTGAGGGACACCATACTAGAATAATTTGTCCTAGGGACCAGCAGATGGTGTAATAGTTACATGGCTGGATTACCACATAGTTGACCACGGTTCAAGTCCCGAACCTGGCAGCTTAAAATTCACACTGGGCACATGTGCATGCATGCCCAAAATTCCAAGAGGAGACTGGAAGAAAAGGGACTGAAGCATGGCCATACCCCCTGAGGGGTGATTTCTCGTTTTCTGTCTCTCTGTTTCTCTCTGTCTCTCCAGCAAGCGCATGTGCCCTATAGCAAAGAAAGAAAAAAGAAAAAAACCCTCTTTAAAAAAAAAAGAATAATTCAACCCATTCTATTTACCATATTCCTACCTAACTTCCTTCTCTCTGGAATCTCTGCCACCTGTTTTCTCATAGGGCCCTCCTTTGCCCCATCATTCAGAAGCAACATCTTGGGTACCATGTCTCTTTTATTTATATCTAAAGCCCAGTGATCCACATTCAGTTTTGCTTCTCACGTCCATATTGCTCTCACTCTTTCTGCTTTATTTACAGCCTATAGCAGGATTGTGATGAGTCAATATATGAGTTTATCTTTAAACAAAAAAAAGAGAGAACATGGATTGGAATGACCTGAAATGAAGAGATAGATGTAAAGCAAGAGGAGAGATCACTTAGAGAACTCTCTTTTATATACATGTATTCTAAAAATTGATATTAACGAGTACCAGCAGATGGCATGATGGTTACATCACTGGACTCCCATGAAGTCGACCAAGGTTCGAGTCCTGGACCCAGAAGCTTAAACCTCACGTCGGGCACATGTGCAGGCGTGCCCAAAATTCCAAGAGGAAAATGAAAGAGAAAGGATTGCAGTGTGGCCATGACCCCTGGAGATGGTTTCTTGTTTTCTGCCTCTCTATCTCTCCGGCAAGCACATGTGCCCTGTAGAAAAAATTTCTCTATAAAGAAAAAGTTGGTATTAATGGTACACTACATTTGTATAGAACTTTTACTTTGTGTAGGTATAATTTTACTTACGTAATTGTTGTGTTACAAAACTGTGATCAACAAAATCCCAGCTCACAGTATTGCAACCAAAGGAATACAGAGCAGCAACCAAAACTTATTTCAAAATAACTCAACTTTTTTAGTTGAAATTCTTCAAGACTAGAAAGGAGACTCTCCAGATCCTAGAAATACTTCTCTGCAGTCTTTTTACCCAACCACTTTCCTCAGACAATACATCTCTGCTAGCTGTCTATAAAGTATTTCCCATGTAAATGTATAATGAAGGGAATGAAGTGGAGTAGGAAGGAAAAGACAGAAGATATGGAATAGGATCAAGAAGAAAATGATTGTTGGGATAATTCATAAGAAACTATGAGCTCACAAGGTTGGACCACCCCACCAGACTCAAAGAGTAACCAAAGCTTCCTTTTCACACATCACATTTCAACATGTGCGTACAAGAGCTACATGGGATTCTTATTACAGGGCCATTAACTTCTGTTGGTTATGATTTTAAGAGGAATGGTGCATACCAGCAGGGTGTAATTGCCCCACCTCTGAAGTTAATGAGGATTGTGATCCATCTCTCCCAGACAGCCTGTGGGGCATTGTGTTTCCATCCCCCTCCTCACTCTGGGCTTTTCATCTGGAAAGAGAAAGATTAGTCATTTGTTTGGCACTTGTTCTCAGCTGAATGGGCCCTTCTGTAAGGGAAGGATCATGTGGAGCACCCTGCTGGAAGAAGGGTATTACACTTAAAGAGGAAAGCCTTCTTTTCTCAGCTATAAAGTTCAACTCCCTAATTAGGAAATAATGAAAGCAAGCCTTCTCTTTTTTCATTATTAGTTGTTTTTGAGATTGTGCTTTATGTGGAACCTGTCCTAACCCCCCACCCAAATCTTTACCAACTGTGAGCTCATTTAATGAAAACAAAACACTTCCTTGATTCTGACAAAGCTCAGTAGGGCTAATGTTAAAACTATGCATTATACTTTTATGTCCCTTTATAGCCACTTTGGCTTTTCATTAAATCTCCTCAAGAGAGCACCTTGAAATAGCCCCCTTGAGTGAGCAGAATTTAGCTGCACCCCCTTTAAAATATTCTAGATGACTGGTCATACCAGTCTCAAAAAAGAGACAATCTTGATGCTCATCTGAATTCCATAAAAACAAGGAAAGGTCACAGCCATTAATTTCCTAGGCCCCTTCAAAGAAGGAATGTCTGGCAAAGCATGACAAGACTTCAGGCTGCACCCATGACAAACCATGGCAGAGAGACTGCTGGGCATTAAAGTAGGAAACTCAGGCTTTTGCTCTAGCTTTGAGTCTAATCAGCCAGACAGCCTTAGACAAGTCATACCACCTCAACAGGTTTCAGACTCTGTCTACTGAATGGAGTTATTAATACTTCCTTGTGAAAATCCAGTCACATTATGCCAACTACACAGTTACCACAATTAACCATAATTAAAGCTAATATTTGGTAACTTGGAACAAGCCATTCGTTTTAGACCATCTTGAAAACATTGTGCCTCATCTCCTTTTAAATGTTTTTTTTTTTTAATTTTGAAATTTTTACACTGACAAATAGAGTCACTTTTCATTTCTCTTTTTTCTCTTTAATGTTTACCAGAGGGTACATGCACTGGCCAGACAGAGAGAGACAGAGAGAGAAAGAACCCCCGTGGTCAATGTTCATGCTACAATCCCTTCTCCTCCATTTCTCCTTCCTCTGGGGATTTTGAGCATGCATGCACACATGCCTAGCATGTTTCTCAAGCCACTGGGTCTGGGTTGAACCACAAAGTCAGACATGTGGAATCCTGTTGCCTTAACCATCATGCTATAGCTGGTCCTCCATTTTTCTTTTTATACCAACAAATGGAAAGAATAATATGATGAACACCCCTATATACTTCATCTAGATTCACTATTAACAGTTTGCCACACCTACGTCATCTCTATACAGGTGAGTATATATAACACATCTCCCTTTTGCCAAACCATCCAAAAGTATATAGATATTTCAGCTGTATCTCCCCCAAACAGGGACATTCTTCATAACTATAATGCCATTATATTGGGTCATTGAGGAAGTCATGATGCATTTTTGCATAGAAAAATACATCATGATTTCTCCGATGACCCAATACCTAAGAAAATCAACATAAATTTAATGTTGTCATCCAACCTATAGTCCTTATTCAAATGAAAATGGATTTTATAGATTTTTTTTAAAAACCCAGATCTAATCAAAGTTTAGCATTGTATTTTTGCCGTTACGTCTCTTAGTCTTTCCAAGTTCACCTTCAACACCTCCCTTCACCCTCAAATTATCCCCCTGCTTTCCTCTGTTCTATAATTGACTTAATCTTTCAGAAGTCCAGGCCTGTTGTCTGGATTCATCTGGCTACACTGCCATGACTACACTCAGGTCAAATATTTCTAGGGGATGCTGTTTCTCCCATTGCATCAAACGAGGAAGAATGTCATTATGACACACTGTCCTACTACTTAGCTGCTTGGTTAAGGTGGTAACCACCAAACCTCTTTGTTGGAAGGGCACATTTCTCCTTCTGTCATTAGTAAGTAAGTCCTTGTGGGTTACTTTGATTTGGTACAACTATTCAGTTGACTGACAATATCTCTCCCAATAGTTTCAGCACCTATTGATTTTTCAGTTATTATAGAAAGAGTTTCAAAATTGTAATTTTGACCTTGTATCATTTCTCTACATTTATGAGTGCTGACCCTTCTATTTTTGTTTTGTTTTTTTTTTTAAAGGGCTTCTCTTGTTTTCCTTTCTGTCTCTTTTTAAATATCACTACGGAATGTATATTTTTCAAAAGTTTTATTCAATATATTACAATCATTACTGTCATCTTTCTAATACCTGTCACCCTCTTTATTATTACATATCGTGGAGTCATCTAAGTTGATATCAACTTGGCTGAGGTGAA